GCAAAAAAAATACTACAATCTACTGTTAAATATTTTACATTTGCTCTCAATTGTTCACTGTACGATTCTTAACCTTGAAATACGTAGGTTTAGACTATTATCTCAAATTTTTATAGGTGCTCCATAATTTTGGCCATGGCTGTATATATATATATATATATATATATATATATATATTTCAGATAGAATATATCTGTAAAAGGATAATATGAATAAAGGCAAAAAGAAAACTTAGCTGATATATTTCATCCTCTGAGTGACTTTATCAAGGTGAGTAAAGGCAGAAACGACTTAATTACAAATTTATCCAAATTCAAACTACCTGATACACAAATGGAAAGTCTTAGTCATATTCTGAAATTTGCCACCAGACTACCGAAAAATGATATTACAAATTTCATGTTTAAAAGCCATCAACACAATGACTCAGATTTCAACAAATGATACATCCAGGGTCTAATTACAGCCACACATGAAAAAAAATAAAATGAAACCAATCTTCCATGAAGATATAAAAAAAAACCTAAAAGAAATATCAAACAACAAAAACATTCATATTACCCCTCCTGAAAAAGGCGGTGGAATTATAATTATGGACAAACACATTTATCTACAAAAAATGAAACACCTGGATGACAATAATGTCTATGAAAAAATAAATGAGCACTAGGTCATAAAAGAGACAAAAAAATTTAAAAATGAACCAAGAAATTACTAAAAAATGAAGAATATTCTAGCTAAAACTCATTGAATACCACCTGAAAACACCCACACTTTATGGATTACCAAAAGTATATAAACTGGATGTCCTAATGGGACCTATTACATCGGATAGGCAGCACCCTACATAAACTAGCTGGCACACTAACCAAAATTTTAAGCAATTGCTTTGATAAAGTTCATCAGAGGGCAAAATGTCTTTGCTAAGATAAATTCTCCTATATATATATATATATATATATATATATATTTAATGAAAACACCACTTTAAGGTACCATTACAATAATTTCACCAAAATCCTTTTAAAGGACTCCGGATCATCAGGTAACAATTCCAACAACGAAATGAAAGGAAAATGGGATTAGAAATTGATGGGTAGTGTAATTTTTGTAATTTAACAGGGGGGTGAGAGTTGTAGTTAAAGAGACAAGGTAGAGTATAGGGAGGGGTTAATTTTTACATCTCTTAAGCATGCTTTATATTGGGGTAGGAGGAGTGACCGAACCTTGACCTATTTAGATGGTTAACTTAATGGAAATGATATATAGGAATGGGAGGGGAGTGGGGAGAGAAGAAAAGGAAAAATGGAAAGGAGAGAGGAGACAGACGACAGTAATACAGATATATCTAAATGAGTGTTACGGCAAAGAGAGAGGGGGAGAGGGAAGTGAATCGAAAGAGGCTGTAATTTTGTTTTAACAAAATTATGTAAAAGATAGATTTCAATGTTTGATAGAAATTTAGATGTCTAAAAAAATGATGAATGTTATCAGTTTAAACATTTAATTTTTTAAGTAAATAGTTTAGGGACTTAATATAAGTTAACTACTATTTTTATTAGTACATTTATCGAGAACATATTAAAGAAATATTTAAAATTATAATAGTTTATTTACCCGACCAATTGTACTTCCATAATATTGTAAAAAATTTTTGGTAACATCTATATTAGTTTTACTTTTAATCTAATTTATGAATGCAATTTTTCTTTATTATTATATGGGTAAACTAAATTAAGGTTTAGGTTTCATTATTTAATAATATTTGAGGGTAATATTAAAGATTTTGTTTTCTTCTTATATGTATCTCACAAACATATTCATGCAAATCCATATATACATACGTTTATTTACATGTGCAAATACACACATAGACACACTTGTAACAATATACACAAATATTCATCTATCTTCATACATAAATTATATATACATACATTTCTCAATCATTACCTATATTTTAATATTTGAAATTTATTTAGATTTTAGTTTGATTTTATAAAGTTTAACTTTAGGTGACTTCTGAAGTGCTTCATTATTAAAGGAATTTCGTTAATATTATTATTACTATTAATAGTTAAAGAGTGGGATATTTAAATTTAAATTATCAATTTTAAAATGAAACTCCCTTAAGAAGATAAAAATACACTCTCAAAATTCTAATTATAGAACATTAAAAGAGAAAGTGTTACTAAATATTAAAAAGAGTAATTTTAAAATACCATTAGAATGACCCAAGTACTTCCATTTAAAAATATACCATACACGTATAGACACATACATACATACATATATATATATATATATATATATATTTATCAATCTGTTTATCTATCTATATATACATATATACATATAGGTATACTCATATACATATACACACATATATATACACATACACACACAAATTCATATACCTACATATACACACACGATTATATACATAAAAAAGCATATGAAAAGAATTCTACCCATAACTATCCACACATGCATATGTATTTATATTACAATGTTATACATCTATTCACACATATATTACAAATATTAATTCTAAGGTATATACATCTATATACTTATAGAGATTACAAGTAATTTAATATTCAAAATACTACACATATACAAATACATGTATACATATATATATCTGCATATATACATACAATATACATATACACATACATCTACACATACATCCACACATATGTAAAATACACACACACACACATATATATATATATATATATATATATATAACGATACCTAGCACAAAAATAACGTTAGTACCTAAACATACCCCGTACTTATATATTTATACTCACACATATGTATATATATATATATATACCCATATATATATACACACATATCTCCATACACATGTGCCCACAATTTAAAAAAAAAGTACATATATCCACATAAGCACCCTTATCCAAAATGTTCATACATACATATATATATATATATATATATATATATATTCACATATAAATGTCTAATTTCATCTATGTACATACTAACAAGTATAGTATCCATGTATTCATACATTCATTTCAAAAACAAAATTAATATTTTCCCTTTTTATATAGTTGTTTCTAAACATACTTAGTTAAAATGAGGTGGTTTTTATGTCTACATTTACAAACCAACTCGTTATGTTTGTTCAGTAATATGTCCGGATCCTTATGTTTTATTATTAAGATTTTTTTCTTTAATGCACAAATTGCATTGGTCTCTGAATATATATATATATATATATAGATGTGTATGTTTCATTAAAAGCGACAGACAAGGTACTATGGTTAAGTTTTTTATTTAATTTTTCTTGTGTCTGAACAAGAGCTTTCTTTTCTGGACAAAGTGTATGTCTTAGTGTGTGGTAGGGATGTTTTTAATTTCTGAATACGGTTAGCACATTGTGGCTTTGTAGTTAATATTGTTAAGAGTTGGATTAAAGCTTCCATTATTTTTAGTCTTTTTTTGCAGGTGGATGCAGTTAATATATTTGTGTTTTCTACTATTATGTTTTGAATGGAGTCTGTTAAATTTGTGTGTGTGTTTAAATGGGTTCTAATAGAGCTGTGATTAGATAGGTGTAATGTAAGATGTCTGGATAAGCATGTGGTTGTGTAACCGATGTAATTATTTATGAATGCTCACACTCAAGTAAGTTGAAAAATCGAATCATCCTTGATAATGGCTAAAGGTATAGCCGAAAGTGCTCGGAAATATAAAGCATTTGGACAGTTCTTACACACCCTTTGTCCAGAAAAGAAAGCTCTTGTCAGAACACAAGAAAAATTAAATAAAAAGCTTAACCGTAGTACCTTGTCTGTCGCTTTTAATGAAACATGCATATAGGAAGGATTGCTGCCTAAATATACAACTATATATAAATATATACGTATATATAATTAATACTATATATATATATATATATATATATATATATATATATATAGTATTAAGTATTATAGTTTTCTATCTGTTTATTGTGCCCAAAATACTACCATTTCACATATTTTTTTTACTAATAATCTTAAATCACATACATAATTAATTTTTTAAATGACACATGAGTGTCTGTATCCAGAATATGTAATAATCACTGATTTTTAATCTTTGATTTTCATTGCAGATTTAAGTATACTAGCTTAGAATATTTTTAAATTTATTTGTATGAAACGTCTTTTTATTGACATATCAATGTCATGAAGTGTCTGCTCCTGCATGCTAAGGGAGATAACTCAATATATTTCCTTTTCAAGTTATTTATCTTTCCCTCTCTTTATGAAACATAAAATATTTAAATGTTTTTTTTTTTTTTTTTTTTAATTTTTAGAAACGGAAGCTAATTCCAGTTTCAAGATTTTAAACCAACAAAAAAAAAAAAAAAAAATTGAACTGCTGAAAACAACTGCAATATTTCTTAACATATACCCATGGAAGAAAAGACAGAAGGAAAGAAATTTAGCATTGAAGACACATCTCAATGCCATACACTTGATACAAAATCACAAACTATGTCAGACTTTTGTTCTCTGAGTTCAGAGGAGCCTCAGTTGTCTGGTTTTAGCACAAATAAAAACGTTTCCTTAAATTTGCACTCTGGTATTTCGTTTGCAATGTCAGAGTCACAAGACAGTTTGGAAACTCCAGATGAAAGCTGCAGTTTCAGTGGAAACCATTCGCTTATTAGCTGTGAAGATTCCTTACAACACAAGATTTGTAGTAGTGATGAAACCGCAAAAAAGGGGAAGGAGTCTGACTTGGACAGTTGTGAGAAAGAAAGTGTTTTAAAACCTGATTCTCTGAGTGAAGCAAATCTTCCATCAGTGGGAGAAATTTGTGTTCCTGAAAAAATTGTCTGCCATGACACATTTAAAAGTGATTTACGTGACTGCATGCCCAAAGTTGGATGTACTGATGTATCAAAAGAAAGTATCACTGATAATGAAGCTACGAAAAAACGAAGCTTTGAAAAGTTAAGTAAGGAAGACTGTATGCAAAGTGCTGATTCATGGGTCGCTGAAGAAGCTCCTCCATGGAAGAAATTCAAATCAGAGTTGCAAGTTGAGAAAGGAAGCAACAATAAAGGTGTCAGTAATAGCCCTTCTTCTGCAGGTATTTTTTCTGGTTCTCAGCAGCAACCCACCACAGATGATTCCCAGCAGAATGTCCCTGCGTCAGATTCCCAGCTGAATGTCCCTGCGTCAGATTCCCAACAGCACATATCCACAGCTGATTCCCAGCAGAATGTCCCTGTGTCAGATTCTAAGCTGAACGTTACCACAGCTGATTCCCAACTGGTAGCTGATTCTCGACAGAACATCCCTACTACATCTGATTGCCAGAAGGACATCATGGTGTCAGATTGCCAGCAGAACCTCCTTATATCTGATTCCAGTCAGAGTTTAACCAAGTCTGTGCCTGTGGAAACTGATTCCCGTTCAGATGTCCAGAAGGAAAATATTTGTGAAATGGTCTCATCTGGAGAAATTGGTCCGTTTAAGCCGCAGCTGACTGAAATGGAAGAAGTTGAAAATGAATATCAGTAAGTTATTATTTTCTTTAATCTTCCTTTGTGAGCTCTATCTGCAAAATATTCAGCCATTTGATATTAATTAAAAAAAAAAAACCTACCTTGAGCAATAGTACATTAGTCTCCATCAAAGTATTATTCTTGAAAATCTCAGGCTGACTGGTCTACTTGTAAAAAGAAAATAGAGAATAATATTTGGGAGCAGGCGGGATAATTTTTGTAGATTAGCATTCATTGGATCTTCCTCAAGCCATTTGTTAAAATTGAATAATCTTGACTTTTATCAATTTACAAATGTTGTTCTGTTCATAATGGAATACATACAATATTAGGCAAACATGGAGAAACATGTCCAAATAAGATGTTGTGTCAAAACGATGGTTTTTCCCTTGACTCTACTATTATTTTAACTACCTTCACTCCTTGGCAATGTTTATTGCTTTAAAAAGCCATGATTAGAATTGAAATAAAACCAAAGCATATGATGAAAGTGAATTCATACATTTTTGTTGTTCTTTAGAAGTTACATCATCAAAAACAATTTATTAGATTTTTTTTTTTATTTAGAAGAATAATTTTATATTAACAACATTCTAAAAACTAATAGAATTAAAACTAATGCAATGCAATATTTATTATTTACCAATTTATAAGGAAATAAATATGAAAATAATTTTTTATTTATAAATTTGTACACATTTATTAAATTATAAAAGTATGTTAGCCAATTATAAGGAAATCCATATAATCTAACATTTTATAAAGTTTGAATAAATTGGCAATTAGATGATGTTTTGCCAAAAGATTCCGATAAACAATCTAAATAGTGTTTATCATTTTTGTTGTCAGTCAGTTCTCAAGAACAAAGAAATAAATATATATATATATATATATATATATATATATATATATATATATATATATATATATAATTTTTCAGGGGATTAGGGAATTACTGTCTTGTACATAATTTTAGACCGAAAGTCATATTAAATTATAATCCACGAAGAAAAGAAAAAGTTTTTTTTTTCTTCTTCTTCTTCTTGTTGATGGTGAGGGGCTTGGGATAATTTAATAGTGTCATTTCAACTGTAAACCGGAAAACTTGTATAAACGTATATAGATGTAGTTTATTGTACTCAAATTTTTATAAGTACATTTATTTCAATCGGTTAACCTACAGTCATTCTGGATGGGGCATATTATTATCACTGTTTTTAATATATAAACTTAAAAACTAGCAACAAATTAACAAAAATTTCTTCCTTCTGACTTTTTGAATAACCCAACTTACCTGAGCGCTATGGACTTTCCCTATGTGTATCCTGCTAGTATCGAGTACAAGTCGGTTGAGACAATTATAAAAATCAGTGTCGCATGGCATGGTACAGAAGGAGGGTGCGTCGGAGCCTGATCAGCTCTGACGGGGTCGACTCAGCGAGGATGGTATGATGTTGTAAGGCCCAAAACTACCCAATGACCTGAGTAATTACATCACTGACGACACTCTCCAGCGCAATAAAAGTGCATATTTCTGAAGAAGTATATATATATATATATAATATATATATATATATATATATATATATATATATATATATATATACTTTTCATATGTTTCAGTTTTATTAGAATTCTAATCATCACTTTTTAAAATAATAAACATTGCTAATGAATGAATGGCAGTGTCAAGAGAAAAACATAATTTTGGCAGTGTCAAGAGAAAAACATAATTTTAACACATTTTTTGGAGGGTGGGGTCAAAGATTGCCAAAATGTCTTTCTACTGTCCTTTTTTTCCCAAGGGGATAAAAAACATTTATTTGGATGAATGCTACAATTTGCAGGAGTACTACAGTAAAACCTCAATTTAAAGAACTAATTGAGTTTCTTTAAATCTGATAAATCTTTCATTTTGTGAAGAAGCAGATTCTGTGGGTCCCTGCATTTAATGAACATCATTTCGTTAAATTTAAGACAGTACATAAAAGAGATATCAAATAAAAATAAGCACTACCCCTAATTCGCTGAACAAACAGCATAGCATAATGAAAAAAGCCCCCAAACTTAATGAAAATAAAGTTTTATTGTTTATGTTATTATTAAGAGGAAAGACCAAAGTTTTTTTTTTTTATTATTTTATTAAATTTTTCAATCCTTTTTAACATGTTCTAAATTTTGGTTAAATATCTTGTTTTTTTTTTCCTTAGCGGTTAGCTTAATATTTAGTGCACTTTTTCCTATAAAAAACACATTGATTTGGAAATTCTTGCAAAAATCAAATAATTGTTGGATTTTAATGAAACTTGTAGGATTTATTCACAAATAAATGAAATTATTTTTTAAAATTTTTTAGAAAATAAAATATTTTCCAACATTTTTAAGATGACTGGGTACTTAAAAATTATATAAAAAACAAGGCACTTTTATCATTTTCTTAATATTATTTTTAACAGATAAAGTCTCTGTAGAACAACAATAAACTTGTCAACATCTTTTTGTCACTTGCCAACACTTGTCATTCACATAAACATGGCCACTGTCTGTTAAAAACACAGCTACTGTTTGTTTTAAAAATGTATTTCTGTGTTTATTTTAAACTTAAAGTAAATAATATTTGTTTCAAATCAGATTAATTATACTTTTTTTTTAAGTGGTATCACCACAAGCATGGCAGTACAGTTAAGTAATGAGGAGAAAGAAAAGAGCAATCAGGATGATAGTAGTTAGCGATTGACATTAACTATTAGGCAACTCTTACTGTCACTATTGTCCCAAATGCATATAATGATAACTACTGATTCTAGAAATTTGAGGAAACATTCAAAAATGCCTCATCATTCCCTCCTGGTTGAGAACTATAACTTTAGCATCTCTCTAAATACCAGATTTAATCTGTATTCATTGTAGTTTTCTCTTTATGTTCTTATTTCATCATCCCTTAAGTCAGTGGTTACCAAACTTTTTCGGAATGAAAATTTGTTTGCTCCTCACCAAATTTTATGTGATAAAAAGTACATTTAAAAATAAAAAACAAAGGGAGGGTGTTGTAGCATACCTACGGACGATAATGGGTATGTCCCCATTCACATAAATGCAGTATTAAATACTGCATGTTGGAGATTCATTGTGGAATTCACTTGGCTCACTTCTAGCAGTTGACTATTTCTTCTACATGCCACTGGTGAATCTTATATGTGTTGTTCTTGTCCTAAGTATTATTGTTCATTACCGACCTTCATTTGATTATTCTATTCAGTAACCTTCCCCAGGTTACAACAGAGGGTTAAAGGGAGATAACCACAACAAGTTTAGAATATTATCACTGATAATGCTCTTCTCCAATTTACAAATCCTAGTTACTCTATTCTTAATACTTGATATAATGCAAAAATAGGACAATTATAAAATCTGTTCATAATTATTTATAAATATTTATACTGGGACTCATGCATGCAATTACAAGTAATTCATAATAATATTTTAAATTTTGAAATCATATTTATTTTTGACATATGAATTTTTTAAACACTGTTTCTAAATCTTTGATTTTCTTTAAATCATTCCGACTCACCTGCTATGATCTTCTGCGCTCACCTTTGAGGCATGTTGCGCCATTTGGGTACCACTGCCTTAAGAGCAGGGTAAAGCCATTCTACTCTGTTGCCTCTGGCTGTTCGTCCGTCCATTCTTCCCCATGTTTACATATTATTCATTTTAGGACAGGAGCTCGTTTTTGTTTTATTGACCCTGTGGTATAAATCTTTGCATTTGACCTTCACTGCATGTGGTAGGTCTTTCTTGTCTTCAAATTGAGTTTGACAAATTAATTTTATGTTTTCTGATAGCATCAAAATGCACATTGTTACTTTTTGTAGTGAATGGTTGTCACTTTGAAATTATTCCAGTGTCTGTATGTGTAAGGTTTTAAATTTAAAAACAGAAAAAAAAAAAACACACACTTTTCTGGTCAAATGAAACTAAAACAAACACACACACACACACAAAGCAGATAATAAAACCAACATTCTCATCCAAAATGGTTTTGGAATAATTGGTTATTTATTTTCATTTCAGGCCTTACAACTTCAGCCAAGTACCCAAGTTCTTAGCCAATTGCTCAGAAGAATTCCAAAAGAGTAATTTCCTTAAAGGATGCAAGTGGTAAGGCAATTTATTTTTTTTTTTTTTCCTACACTATTTATATTATTTGGACTATTGCCCTCATCTTTGTTGCCATATTCACAACGTTTCAGCCATTGTAAGCTCCAGCCTTCTTCAGGTGATTGAAATTTCATAGCAAACTCTTTATTTCGTCCACTGGGGTAGATTGTTCTAGTTCCCCATTCCATGCCTCTTTTGGATGTCTCAGTATTAGTTATCTCTCTCTTTTAAATCAACTCTCCATGTTTTTGTTCACCTCTTCTTTTGTTCACCATTGGGTCATGTGGATAAAAGCATTGGTTGAATCCAGTGACTTGGTCCAAAGAGTTGTGAGTTCAATACCTGGCTACAGCAGAGGTGAACAAAAACTTTGAGAGTTGAGTTAAAAAGGGAGATAACTGATACTGAAACATCTAGAGGAGACATGGCATGTAGAAGTAGAAAAATCTGCCCCGGTGGATGAAATAAAGGGTTCAGTTTGAAATTCCAATCACCTGAAGAAGGCTGGAGCATACAGCGACCAAAGTGTCATGAATATGGCAACTAAGATGATGAAAACAGTCCGAACAATGAAGTCAGAAATATAGACAGATATTGAAGGATCGGTACAGGCCCGATATACCGAAAATATGGAGACAATTAGAAAAGGCAATAAAGATGAGGATAACAGTCCGAACACTGTAAATAGTGTAAATAATTACAATAACTCATCTCAGAAATATACTTTTTTTTCTCTTTCCTTTTGACAGTACCCTTCTCTGGTATTTTTTGAGTAAAAGGTTGACTAGATAGAAAATGATAGAAAATATTTCATCTGACTTAAAACTAAGTTTGTTTGTTACATCTTTGTATGTGTGTACCATTTATAGTATGAGATTAATAGACAAATATTTTATATTCCAGCTTATCAGAGTCAGTTAGTCAGTTATGTGCCATGTGTGATACACGCTTATGCGATCATGTATCTTTCGATACATGACTGACAAGGCAGATTTTTTCCCGCAGTAGGTTGCCATTCCTTTCTAGGGTAGACCAGTTGCCATCCAAGGCTATAGAACCTGGTTTGTCTTGCTGTTTACCCATAGGTGGGTTAAAGGGAAGAAGAAGAGGATGCATAACTTTCCCAAGGGTATTAGCATGTTAGTGAATGTAATTAACCGATTTTGAGTTTCAGCTGAGTTTAATTTGTATTTTTTTTTATTCTATGAATATATACAAAATGAAACTGCTATCCTTTAATCATCAGAGAGAACCATTTTTGCCCTCCATCAGCATGGCTGATGCTAACCTCCAGGTGAGGAACTCATTGCACCTTCTTGGTCTCACATTTTCTACTGACATGAATTGGAGTGATTAAATTGAATCAATTGCTAGGTCAGTTGCTAGGAAAGTTGGTTTATTGTATCATGACAGATAATTTTTCTTACCAAAATCCATCTTGCACTTTTATAAAGCTACCATTTTTCCATGAATTGGACATTGCTGCTATATTTGGTCTGGTGCTTTGGCTCTATATCCTGAGATGAAACACCAGTTCCCATACAATCACTGAAGTTGAACAATGTCGAGCCTGGTCAGTTGCTAGATGGGTAACCATCTGGGAATATCGGGTGCTGTAAGCTTGGATGTGTGGGTGGTATAATGGATAGTGGCCCGGAATTGTTGAGTGAAGAGCTCTAATTCCTGTTGGGTTCGCTATATTCACTTACATGCAAATGCCCTTGGGAAATGTATGAATCTACCTCTTCTCCTTCCAGCTATGGGTTAATTAGTAAGACTAAACCATTATTATCTCCCCCCACCTCTCAGAATCTCGAAATGTTTTCCAGCCTTAAAAATATCCTGAAAAGAGTTCTTGAGATTCTCAACAAAATCCAAAGAAGGGTTTGTAATGTTATTGATCTTGACCTAACATCCTGGTTTCAATCACTTTTCCTCCACCATGACATAGCTTTTCTCTGTCTTTTCTGTGAATATTTTTGTGACAATTGCACTGATGAGCTTTCCTTCTTACTACCTCAACTGCATAAATTTAAGCATACTACTAGATACTACTAATACCCTTGGGAAAGGTATGAATCCTCTTCTTCTCTCCCCAGCTATGGGTAAATAGCAGGACAGACCAGGTTCTATAGCCTTGATTCTAGCACACTCTAGACCTCTGCTTACCTTGTTGATTCTAGCACACTCCAGACATCTATCTTTTTGATTCCAGCTTGCTCCATACAAATATTTACCTTTGTTGATTCTAGCACACTACAGACCTCTGCCTTCCTTTTTGATTCAAGTGCTCTCCAGACTCCTGCCTACCTTTTTGACTTTAGCACATTACAGAAATCTGCCTACATATTTGATGATTCATTTTTATTTTTGTCCAATAAGACTTATATTCAGCATTAAATAACCCAATAAGTTTTAAAATCCTATTAAATCCTCTAACTTAACCTTCTTTTTACCATCTCACTGATATCAATCTTTGTTCTTTTTTTTTCATTGCATTATTACTCTTATGTGCTTTCAAACTAAAGGAAGCTTAGATGTATTCTCTTGGTGCTAATGAACTTCTTAAAAGATTTTTGTTTTTGTCTTTTCTTGTAAATGTTAGGGCACCTGATGGCTCTTGTATTCTGACTAACAGTGAAGATCGTTGTCTTCGGCTATTTAACCTCCCAGAACAGATTTACAATTCAGAAATAAACAACATTCCACCATTGGTAAGTATTAAAGAAGAAAATAAAATTATTTTTTGTTTGCTTTGAAATAAAAAAAAGTTCTTGCTACACTAACTACTATAAACCCATGGTGAGCAATCCATCTAAGAGAAGGAAAACTGTTTTCCATCACTCGGAAAATCAATAACTTGATTTTCAAAATTCAGATTTTTCACTTTTATAATTTTGTGATCAGAAACTGTTATCAGGAAAAGGTAAAACAGTTTTTATGCAGATATAATATTTTTAAAAATGCTATGTCCCTCCAGGACATTATTGATTGCGACACTCCACAGTTTCCTTTTTGTTTATTATCTGTTAATTTCCATGCATTCTTGGGAACTACCATGGAGTGGTTGACTATTGCTTTCTCCACAGTTGGAATTCAGAGTTGTCCTTTTTATTAAACTGGTTACCATCCAAGGCTGGAGAGTCCAGTCCACCCTGCTATTTAACCCATAGCTAGAATAACAAGAGGCAGATTCATGTCTTTTCTTAGTGAATTAGTGTGAAAGTGAATGAAACAGACTTGCATAGAATTTGAACTTGGCTCTCTAGTTCCATTTCCTGCACTAATATCACTTACACTACACAAACAACCTTTATGCAAATAGATTTTGTGTGTGTGTGTGTGTGTGTATATACCTATGTTTCTGTATGAAGTTAAAATTTCTAAATTGTGTTCAGAATAATACTTCTTGATGTTGATGGATATTTTCTAAAATTCACTATCCTCTTCTAACTTGCAACAAACACTTGTCTGTATAGACACAAATGAGACCCCAAGTCATATGCGGGCATGTCTGTTGAAGCTAGTCATATCCAGGTTTTCCTTTTTTGCAGTAGAACTTCTTGGCATGTCCAGATACGGGCCTCTATGCAACTTGCCCAGATCCAGGTCTTTGTCAACTGTCTCATGTTAAAAAAAAAGCAACAGGAAGATCAGAAGTTGGCAGTTGGTGAGACTTGCTTTGAGGTTCAGTGTCTTGTTAAGACGTCTACTTTTGCACATTTTGTTCTGGAAGTTGCATACCACCCACTGTATTGTTGTTTCTGAGGCAGTGGCCTCACTAGTAATTACTCATTTTATTTTGTTTCCTTACATCTCTTTCCCTTCTTTACCTGTCCCCTGTAATTCTTAAGCAAACAATCGGTTAAGTGTTTCCCCCTTTAACCTCAACACACCCTTCTCTCTCTCTCTGTCTATATATATATATATATATATATATATATATATATATATATATATATATATTCCAACATTTATGTATTTATTTTATTTATTTATCTATTTTTCTTTGTTCTCTCTCCCCCCACTCTGTGCAACTAATTTAACATTGATACTTATTCTAACCATTCTAACCTAACTTATAACACTATGTTTGTGTAGTTGAATTGCCCCCCCGCCCTCGAAAGAAGGGAAAAAATGTCTCTTCACCAGGCGTTTGTATGTCTTCAGTATTCTTATGGTCCAGTGGCCTTGTCTTTTGCTAGATAAAATTTGATCTAACGTGGAATTTTTAAAGCCGTTCGTTTCTCCTCGTGGTTTAAAAATTTTATTAAAGAAAATTTCCCCGAGCCCACTGCTGATGGCGAGTAGGAATGGTCGCTGACCCCCATACCCCCCCAACACTGCGTTATCTGTAACCTGATGCTTGGGCACTGAGATAGGTTTGGCTGTACACTCACTGGCGTCCATCAGAATGCAAGCGGACAATCACTTTCTGCCATGTGTGAGTATAAATTCATTCTAGCAGAGACACATCGAAAAGCATCCCTCTCTCTCTCTCTCTCTATATATATATATATATATATATATATATATATATATATATATATATATTCCAACGTTTATGTATTTATTTTATTTATTTATTTATTTAACTTTGTTCTCTCTCCCCCCACTCTGTGCGACTAATTTAACATTGATACTTGTTCTAACCATTCTAACTATCCAAGCTACACAAAACAACTATTTTGGTACCGGAGTCTCTACCAAATGTTAGTCAGTGTATAACTATCTCTTCATTTTCTTCTATGTGTTGTGTGCTTTCAGGACGTAAGCGATCACGGCTCTCCACAACTTTCTGCTTTTGTGATCCTTACCAGCATTTCTCTCATTGCCAAGCTTCCTGTCCCTTCTCCATTCACTATCCATTCGAACAAGCTTATCATGTAGGTGGACCGTTGTCTTCCTCTATCTTTTTTGTCCTTAATATGCCTTGTAAGGGTTAAGTTTTCCCAGCCTTCTTTCCTCATTATGTGTCCTCTTTTTCTGATTCTGAGTGTAAGTGTTCTTTTTCTTATCATTTTCTTTAAGACTTCCTTGTTGCTTATTTGCTACGTCTATGGAATTCTCAGTATCCTTCTGTTGAGCCATTTTCCTGCTGATTTCAGTTTCCTCTTCATCTGTGAGGAGATTGTTCAGCACTCACTACCATACAAGAAGATTGATATCACGAGAATTCAGTATTCTTTTCTTTGTAACTATCTTTTACTCCAAGCTCGGTGGCTAGGATCAAAGTGTAGTATCTGTGCTTTGTGAGCTGCCGGGTCGGGTGTCTGTCGAACTCTCTGCTTGCAGAGGGGAACCCGGACGAAGCTCTGCCGAAGGGTAGGGTTTCGTTCGGGGAGGTTGACGGAACTAGCCCGCTTGGACGGGTTTAGATGGGTTTTATTTTTGGCTGGGCCTACGGGCTCAGACATACCCACATTAAAAAGGCCTTGTGCCACATTCAATTCCTGTGGGTGAATTGATAAATACCATCTTTTACTCCAAGCAAAACCGTACAATCCCTATCTGTATGTGCTAAACGACCATAACGGGAGATAACTCGGAAAGACCAACGTTCAAAGGGAGATAAACAAACATCGGCACTCCATATTGATAAAAAATTCTTTTAAAGAAAATTATATTTTGACCATTAAATCCTTTAAAGAAAACAATATTTTGAATAGATGAAGACAAAATAATTTCCGAAACACAAAAATTCAACAAAAGTATGAGAGAGTTTGTTAATGGTGACTAACTCTAACGACTTTTAATGTTTTCAATTAATGGAATATGATACTAGAACATCCAGAATTTACAGTCTACCCAAGATGCACAAAGCAGGCATTCCAATGCAACACAAAATATTAATATTTTGGAATTGGTAGCACTTCATTAACGTTTTTTTTATAAATCTATAATTGATACCAGATGTTTTATAAGCCTTTAATTAATACTAGATTTTATTTAAGACATATAATTTATACCAGATGTTTTATTATATACATTTAATACCAAATTTAAAAAAAAATAAATCTGTAAATCCGTTTTCACAACACTCTTGAAACATAACGATAAATGATGTAATTTTTCAGTTGACCCAGTGTGTATATATATATATATATATATATATATATATATATATATATATGAGCGTTTCTAAATTCTTCTGGTAACAAACAACATTCTGTTTTTGTTTATAGATACTTTGTCAAATAAATTCATTTTATTTTTTGCCTTGAAAAAGTCCACAGTGGATGAAATGCTTTGACTAAATTTACATGCAATTTTCCTATTGTCTTTTTCTTTTATACATACACACACACACACATGCAAATGAGAGAAATAATAGAATCCACAGTTTGTAGCATTTACTTTTAAAAAAGTGCTCAATACAAAGTAGAGCAATATATTATTATATTTTCTTATATACTGATCCTTTCCAGTTCTCTAATCAATTTCTTGATGTACATCAAGGAAGGTGCTGTGATTTTTTCCTACCCAAGTACTTTCAATCTCTTCTATGATCATTCTCGGGTAAATTACAAACTTATTGTAACTGTGATAAAATCTACATTACATTGTGATGGTGATTAAGGCTGAAGTTATGAAAACAAGTTCTGTCATTGAAGGTCTGGTTTATATTTTTGCTGGACAAAGATAATTCCAGAAAAATAGAAAAGAATCAGAGAATTAAAATTAATGGCTAGAACAAAACTCCACCCTTCTGCCTATACACTTTAAAAATTAGATTTGTCACAAAGACAGTTATTCATACCCTGGGAAGTGGGCTGAGGTTGAATGCTAGCTGGGTAGGATGAAGAATGGGAATTTGGCACTGCCTCCATGGAGTGGTGCTGTGAGATGTGAAGTGAAGTAGGTGGGAGTTAGAGAAGTAATCCTTGTAACTATTCCTGAGAAGGTGGACAATTCTCCAAATTTGGAAAGTTGATTAAGAAATCAGAAATAGGGAACAAAAAGCCCTTATTAGAATTTATGTGAAAATTAAAGAATCAATGAATCCGAAGAACCCATGCCAGTTTTGGGCCTGTGTGCAAATAAGCAGATTGCTTTGGGATCTTGAAGCACAGTGTCACTATAGAGATTGATCCAGGAAGGGTTCATTTTTGTTGTACCAAGAGCTATATATACCAATTGAAGACTGACCTCATGAATCTTTCGTTTTATTTTTTTTTTTTGTGAAGATATTTTCCTTCTTTAATGTAGCACCTGCTACAGCTTGAACTAGCACTGCGATTACTACGACATTTGATCTTCACTGTTCTGAAATCAAGTTGGCATGGATTGAAGTGGCCAGTGACCAACAACCAGCTTGGACCAGTACAGAGTTAGCCCTGGCGGATGTTGTGGTTAAAATTATTATTATATGCTGAAGCCCCAGGAGGTTGTCTCTACATTACCTCTCCTTTTGGAGAGAGCCAGATTCATTACCTTACAAGTAGAAAGGGGATTTGAGCAGTTTTTGTCTGGTTATCAACACACTTTAAAATTGACCTTGTGTCACATTCTGTTCTTTGTGGGTTTGCAGTTAAATACCTATTACTTTGATTTTAGAACTTTTAAAATGAGTTGCTTTCATCAGTATAATAATGATAATATTTTTTGAGTGTATTATTGTAAATGCAAAAATAGAACAACATAGCACAATTTTTATTAGCACAGGACTATAATTTTCCTGCTTTAAGTACAAAGCATTTTCTAGCTTGAAGGA